GAGAGAGAGAGAGCGGAGGGTACACAGAGGAAGACATAGGTGGCCATAAAACACAAAGATAAAACTCAGACAAAGCGGATCACAGACCAGAAAGATAGACCACAGACAGAGGAGACCACAGACCGCATCTACAAAACGCAGATAGAGCAGACCATAGACCACAGAGGTAGAGCATAACAGAGCAAGAGAGGAAATACAGACAGAGCGGACCACAGACCACGGAGATAGAATACAGAGACAGAAGACATAGGGGCCATAAAACACAAAGATAAAACTCAGACAGAGCGGATCACAAACCAAATATAGAACAGACACAGAAAGAGTGCACCACAGACCACAGAGATAGAACAAAGATAGAGAAGAGTACAGACGATAGATACAGATGAATACAGCCATAGAGATAAAACACAAACTGATATGAATACAGACTATAGAGATAGAACACCGACAGATGAATACAGATCACAAAGAGTGTTATTGACTGAAGTTGTTTTTAGTCCATTCCCAGAGCGGGGATATTAACATGTTCTTATGCACAGTAGAATTGTAAATGGACTGATTTATCAATGCCATGCTCATACTGTGCCGGAACAACAAAGCAGGAACTGCTGTTTTTTCTTTCCTCGTCCTTACTATCGTCATTTTTCCTCTACTTCTTTTATATGTTTGTCACTCTCTTGTTTACTGTTATTTCCAGGGTGCCTTGATAGTCGAAGCAGACTTTGTGCTGTTGAGGCTAAAGAGTTGAGCAGAGTAAGCCTGATTCCCCGTTTGGACTTCTCTGTTGACACCCACCACTTGGCGCTCATATTCCCTTATGCATTTTGGAGACCCGTAAAACCTTACTTAAACAAAATAAGATAGGACACAGACATAACGGAGAACAGGACGTAGAGATAGAGCAGAGACAGGGTGAGGGTGGACCAAAGAATATCTCCGTCAATACGCTGTTGAGAGATGGCTGCTAGCATCAGATTTGAAAATCTCCCAACAGAAGACACGTCCCACATCAATAACACTAACCCTAGTTCCATACCCTTATTGGAATAACTCTCCAGATGCGTCTGCGTCAATCTAAATGTAATTGTTTTACAGAATCATCGACACAGATTATGCTTTTTAAAGAGAATGGATGTTTCAAACCTGCCTATCAATACAACCCTTGCTGAAAGAGATGCGGCATCCTAGCAGAACGACGGAAATACACGAAATAATAATGTTTCCCGCAGGGAATCGAACTCATGGCTTTCTCCTACGTTTGATGGCAAAGAGCATAACAATAACCATTACTCTACAAACACTGGTCACACATGGGTCGTTTCGAAAGTAGGTTACGTAGCGTAGCATCAAATACAGTAACACTAAGGTGAGTTACAAAAATATGACGAGGGTTGTTGATTTTAAAAAAACTGGGTTAACTTTTATTTCTTGGCGTTTGCTCGTAACATGGCTGGTGTGAGAGCAACAGGTAGCTAAAAACTGACGCTTTAAGTTTTGCTAAAGGTCAGTGGCTTCTTTTCCTTTCTCAACAATCTAAAAAAAGACACAGTTCAATTGATAGGCACAGTTCAGCATCATTGACTTCAGCAGGTGGGAAAACTAAAACGTTCTGCATGAGAGATCCAAAGAGGGTTGATGTCACACTGTGAGCGATTGGAAAATGCTAACGGAGACAGACTAGGAGAGAGAGAGAGAGAGAGAGAGAGAGAGAGAGAGAGAGAGAGAGATGAGAGAGAGAGACAAGAAAGGAGGCAGTAAAAGCACGTCCTTGAACATCAAATGAACCCACTAAGTAACCATGTCCCGTTAAACCACAGGTCATAGAACAACATTACATTTATTATAACATAACGACAAGCCAAAGTAGCGAGACCATGTCTCAACTGTACATCCGCTCAGACCCTGATGGCACCGACACCGGCACCAACACCGACACCGACACCGACACAGGCATGTCCGGCCCCAGGTGCCACGGGCAGTTAAATGAGGCCAATATACCTCCAACCAGAAAGACGGGCGTTCCATCCACACAGAAAAGACCAGGAACTGGAAATGCCCTCGCGACTTCAGTGGCCTGTGGTGATGGCGGCTTGCAGAAGCGGGAACTCGGGGGTTTCACACTAGTCGTTCTCTGTTCGATTTTCGTGTCGAAATACACAAATCGACAGCTGAGAGCAAAAAGTGACTATATTTTATCCACTTTTCACAGTTTCGAGAAACACAAATTTGAAATTTTAACGATATTGAAATCGCTCTGACAGTCAAAAAAGAAACGTTTATATTTCGATACCGAATTAGATATGCAGAGGTAAAGGAGGTGTTTAAAATCTCACCACCCTTACTGATTACTCCATTTCCACAAAAAGTGGATATAGTTACCTTTTACGCTCAGTCATCGAAATGTATTTCGACGGACACGTATCGTCGGTCACCTTTTAAAATTAAAAAAGCCCAAAATATATTTTTTTAAATAAATTTAC